CACACACACACACACACACACACACACACACACACACACGCACACGCACACGCACACGCACACGCTCCTCCCTCTTTGTGTATCTTATCTGCGGCTCAGAGGTAAACAAACAGTGCAGGACCCAGAATCCCCTGTACCTCTCCATGTCCGTCAGCCGCGACGAGTCCCGGAATCCTTTGGCGAACGGGTTGCTGTCGATCTTCAGTTTGGTTATCTGGTTAAAAAATAAGAAGAAAGAGTCAGACAAAATTCATCCTTCTCTCAGATTTTACTACTTCTCTTATTTTCCAGCTGCTTTTCTTTGGCAACACAGCAGAGACGAGGCTTCACAGCTATTAAGAGTCTGTTAATTACTCTAATTAGTTAATTATTCCTCCTCCTGTGCTGCAGAAAACCCTGGGGGACACCAGGGGGAGGAGAAATCTGGCCCTGACAAATTATTCTTACGAAAATGATATAAAGTCCAAATTAAACAGATAAGATTAGACTGATTATTGTGATTACAGATACTTTTAAAGCTCAATGTGTTCCGTCAAATTCAAGTTATTTCAACTTTAACTTGAGCAAAAGTTAAAAAACGAAAAGAAAAGATTTGAAATCCTGATTAACACAAACATTTCCATGTGTGCTGATTAAAACTTTGTGCTACAATCGAGCTACTCGATGGTACCTGTAGTGATTTAATGGAGGCAAACAGCAGAGCTCAGCAGTTCGATTAAAGCCCAGAGGAAGAACAGAGCGACAACAATAAGGTCGACTGGTGCACGTCAGCTATCGATCACTCACCAGCTGGTTCTGATAGGCTGTGACGGCCGTGAAGACGGTTTCCACGAAGACGAAGGTGCGGAACTCCTCAGACTTGAGGTTGAGCAGTGAGGCGGTGTGGTCTTTCTTCTTGATGATGTGGACTCGTGGCTGGTACTTGTGCATGGAGTTCAGGATGATCTGCAAAGCACAACGACGATCGGTGATTGAAGGAAAAAGTACAGGCTCAACTGAGAAAGAGCAAAGTCTCACCAGGGTAAACACGTTACGATCAGGGTCTGTTCTGCTGCAATGGTTTTAAATGATCCCCCTCCTGCTGCCGCCTGAAAATAGTTTCAGGTCACAAACCTAAACCCAAGAGCTTGATTCTGATGTTTTCATTAGATTTACTAATAATAAAAAAATACAGAAAATCCGGTACCTCCATTAAAAAGCACAGTGGAAGTACGTTTCCTCTGTCAGCTGCTCTGTTGTGGATCATCCTTTGTAAATTTGGTAAAATATAAAAACTACTCATGTTGAACAAAGGGAATAAAAATCCCGTCTCTTCCGTCTGGAATGGAAATTACTACAATACAATTAAGTCTAATAATGGAAGACAATTTATCTAACACAATAATAATTGGAATTAAAGTAAAACTCACTGGGGACAATTGTTAAAAGTAGTTTCTACTAATCTGTTTTATCAAGATCTGCGTTTAATCAAATATGGATGAGAAGCGTAAATTTCACTCACTTATTTTTTATTTTATAAATCCATTAAATATTGTAAATTAACGAAGCACATAATACAATAAAATACAGTAATTACTATTTTATTATAATTTCATATCTAAATAAGTGTTAGGAAACTACACTGGAACATTTCCGAGGTGGTAAATTAGAGACGAAGCTTTTCTCAGATGCTTTGTGACTCTGTGAAGCTTTGTGTTTATTTTGAAATTATAATCCTCCAGATTTAACAGTTTAAAAGGAGAGGGAGCGCCAACGAAGGGGGAGACTTACAGAGAAAAACATGACGACAGAGATGGACAGAGAATCCGTGCAGACAGACGAATAATAAAGAGATGAGAGTAAAAACAAAAGAATAAAAAGACAAGAGCGTGAAGAGATAGTTGTTAACACAGCAGCTGCAGCATCAGTGTGAGAATTTCCTTCCATGATAGTTGCTGTTTGGCTGCAGCCCAGGAAACTTCATATTTATCTTCCCCAGCCACTGAGTGACGGTAAATACAAAATACAGATGTAACACACATCAGCAACACAACTAAAACCAGCAGCTGATCCGTGTGTGTGTGTGTGTGTGTAGGATTTTGGGCTTTCAGTCATTCAGAAAACTGATTTATTTATTTTTTTCAGACTAGACTGTTTATATTATACACATGTCTTGATATCAGTGGGCTGAACCGTTTCAGTTAATAAAATAATGAGTAATAATAAGATCAAATGTTTTATTACATAAAGAGTAATGTCACTGCCGTTTATCTTTATCAATGAATATATTCCACCTGTTTTTCTAGATGATAAGTCCGCTTTTGTTTTGTCTGCTATTAAATAAAATACAAATTTGATCCATTAAATCTGTATCAGCGATGCTTCGATTGTTCATTTCGTTCAAATGTCTTCTTTTTTTTTTACAGTTTTCAACTTTATCTTTCCATCTTTCTTTTTCATTAATCAAATTATTTGTTTGACTGTATGAGTCAGAAAAAACAGGAATGATCATATGAATGAGTAAAACAATAATAACTACTGCATGTTATAATAGATAACAGGAAATATCCTCCTCTAAGTGTTTGAATGAGACTTTTTAAAACCTCACTGCTTCAGAATGCAGCTGATATGTGTAAAAATCTTATCACCACATAATGTGAAAATGTGAATCAATTAGTTTAAAATAACATAAAATACATGGTTTTGTCGTCTCTATTTTAGCATTAGCACAATATTCATCTTAAAACAAACAGCTCTGATGTCATCGTAGCTCTTTGGTGTATTTGTAATGTATTAAAAACATGTCAGCTAATTAAAGGTCTGCGTTACATTTCTGTGTATCACTGAACAGCTTCAGGTTAAGAAATGATATCTGACTCATAAAGCTAAACTTTAACGAATATAGTAAAACATAATGTTAGAAGTTTGTCTCGTGTGTCGGTGCTTTGGTCACAGCTGTGTGAATAATAACAGTAAGTTATTTTCGGACTGAAACGAACACACACACCTGAAGTTAACACTGAACCTGAAGCCTGTTTGTTCTTGTCAGTGAAAGAAGGATTAAGGAACAATTTGCTCCAGACATAGAGGAATTATAATCCCACAATCTGACAGAGACCAATGTTTATCACGGAAACTCCACACACACACGTTTCTGTAGAGCAATGATGTGCGACACGTGATCTGAAGACACCTGAGAGCAGCTAGCTCGATGCTGCTAGCTAACAGCTAAGCGCTTGAATGTGCAGACTCGAGAGGAACAAAGGGACGAGTGCTCACGTGTCCGTGTTGGTCCAGCTCGTTGTTCGTCAGCTTCACCTTCTCGAAGGAGACCATCTGCTTCATCAGCTGCTCCCCGGTGAACGGAGAGTCCGGGTGCACGTACAACCTGCCACCGGAGGAGAAGAAGAAGAAGAAACCCCGGAAGTGGTGAGAGAAACGTTGTTGGAGAGGAACACGTGGGTGAACGATGATCAGGTGTCCAGAGGATAAACAACACGCAGAGAGAGAAATAAAATAAAATAAAAAATAAAGAGTTGTTCAATATAACACGAAGAAGAACGAGGCCGGTTCATACTCGAATCTGATTGGCTGACGACTTAAATTATCCAATCAACGCCCACATGTTAACGAGGCCAATTACAGGTCGCTTAGCAACGGCGTCCCATCTCCACCGCAAAATTATCATTATTATCATTATCATTATTATCATTATTATCATTATTATTATTACAACTGTATATTTTAACGGTGTTACGGTTGGTTATGTATTTTTGACATTAAGCTTTTAGAAGCTATTTCAATATTTACAAGCGAATGCAAAGAATTTATTAAAAACC